TATCGTGTGGTTTCGCCGTCTCTCAAATGCCTTTAAGATTCCTTTTCCACAAACGTCGGATTTTTTTCGACAGAGTATGTGAGAATACTCGACCACTCTTTGTCCCCAAAAGAGTGGCCTCACAGCCGATAGAGTAATAATTATTAATCTTACGGTTTGGCGCGCGGGACGAGGCCAGCTCGTCCTCCGCGCGAACCCCGAGGCGGCCGCCGACTCGATGGCATCCCGCCGCATGGCGAGCGCCGCGCGGCGGGCTCCCAGCGAGATTGAGAAGAGGTCCCGGTCTCCGCCGATCACTGCGCAGCCGGCCCTCACTCGCCCCGGCACTCCGCGTCCCAGTTGTCGGGGATGACGTCCGCCGTCAGCTGGATGAACCGGTGCAGCGGGCAGAAGTGCTCGCACTCGGGCATGGTCAGCGGGTGCACGTCGTCCGTCGTGGTGGAGTTCCTCATGTACATCTGCGGGCGGAAAGGAGGTGTTCAAGTAACCTGCGTTTGCCGCGCGGCCCAAAGGCGCTGACGTGAGCGCCTCGCGAGTAGGCAGCCCATTCGACACGCTGCCGTTGCCCGGCGAGCGACCCCCCCCCCTTCCCGTCCCCTGAACACACATCACTCCAATCCAAATTGCTGTTTTCGCATGTAGCGCTGCAGTGCGGCCCTCCGCTCCGCTGCTGTAATTCCGGGGTATTCGAACAACATACGTCGCTGAGCTCGACCTTGACTCACCTGGATGCCGACCTGGCCGGCGCGCCGCCGCACCTCCAGGATGACGGCCATGCCGTACGGCGGCAGCGTGTTGTCCCAGACCTGCAGCGCGCGCAGCATGGCCGACACGTTGTTGTCGTGCACGGCGTACATGTAGAGCTTGCGCTCGGCCGGACGCAGCAGGCTGCGCGACTTGGCCACCGAGTGGCGCAGCATGCGCTTGAGCAGCGGACCTGCGGACAGCGGCGGGGGAACAGTGCGGGTCAGCGGGGAGGACAGCGAAGAGGACAGTATAGTCGCCTCTCTGTAAGGAGTAACCTGGCGAGCGCAGGGATCGGAGCCGATCGGAACACGAGTTTTCGTAAATGTGTCAGTAGTGCACTTCCCTTGTAAAAGCAACAAATAACTGTCTAGTGCTCCACGAAAAACTACACCCTTTCATTGGGTGATTGCTTTATGGCCGTGTGGTTGCGTATCTTGGATTTTTTTTTCTCATTACGAAGGTGGGGACTATTTTTTCGGCGCGCAATGTTTAGGTTACTTCTTACAGCATGGCAACTGAAACGCGACTGGGTGCGGGACGGCCGCGCTCACCTGCCCGCAGGCGCTGCATCTGCCTGTTGTACGCGTCCAGCTCGAAGAACATGGCCGTGAGGGGCTTCATCTTGTCCGGGAAGACCTCGCTGGTCCAGCTGGGCAGCGTCAGGTTGAATCCGTTCTGGCGAGCAAAGAGGGGGTTACAGAAGACGTCAGGTCAGTCATAGTCTGCCGAAAGACAAAACGCGGCGGCTGCGTCACTGGGCCAACGTCAGGTCAGTGACCAGACTGCCGCACTTTCGTAAGGCTGATCGCAGCGCCAAAACAGCCGTCTGCAGCTCTGTTTACCTTCAACGCGATAACGTCGCGCGCCGCGCCCGGCAAATAGAAAATTATTCTTTCGGCCCACAACCGCTACTTTGCCGTGTGCCTCGGCTGTTATCGCGTTGGGCGACGTGGACCCCCTCCCTACCCCGGGGGGCCCCCCTCCTGGGACTCACCTGCGCGAGCAGCGCCTGGTAGATGTTGTACACGTCCTCCGGGGTGGTGATCTTGGCGCCCGAGTACTTCTCGAGGTAGCTGATGAGCGCGGCGTTGGCCGTGCGGAATTGCTTCTGGAAGGAGGGCGACTGCAGCACGGCCTGGAACTGCGCGTCGTAGGCCGGGCACGGCACGTCCCACATGTACAGCAGCTTGTCCTGGTCGCGGGGCGTGCTCTCGGACGCGATGGGCATCCACATGCGGCCGAGGGCGTCGCCGCCGTCCGCGCCGGCCCACTCGTCGTGCTTGGACGGCGGGAACAGCCCCGCCAGCACCAGCGCCATGGAGTCCTTGGTGCGGGGCCAGTCCGTGGTGCGCGCCGCCATGAGCCCGGCCCGGTAGCCGCCCAGGAAGTCGCCGTAGCGGTGGCGGAGGAAGCGCCCGATGCGGTACTCGGTGCGCTTGCCGACCTGGAGGAGCACGACGAAAGTGTTTCTTATTATTTAAGTTCCGCGAAACGTTACAGTCGGTTTGTTGTGAATCGTTCCACTACTTACGGGGGTGAGGGCGCCCAGGCCGACCGGCTCGTACGTGAAGTTGGCGTACGGGTCGTTCGGGTACGAGGGCGGGTCCGGGGTGCGGTCTCCGTGCCGGAAGAGCTGAGGAAGCAAGGGAAAAAGAAAACATGAAAACATGATGTTGAAATGAAAAATAATGCAATCAGAGACAAATAGGTCGCGATGCAGCGGACAAAGCATAACGGGAGAGGAAATATTTGTAGATATATTTCCTCGAAGAGAAAAATCGGACGGACGAAGTGGACCGACTGATAAAAATAAAGTCGTATTTTCTTTGCTGTTGAAACGCCCTGAATGATATTACTCGCAGGCGGTCGGCAATGATAAGGGTTAAATTTATTTTATACTATTTCCCCATTCGTCTAGACGTCCCGGGCGCTGCGGCGGCGCGGGGGCGGAAACCCTGTAGTTTGAGTGTGGGCGCACCCCGCCTGCTCTGCGGTTATTGGTCCGAAATGAATGCGAGGGATTAAAAAGAAAGAAAAAAAACAACCGTCATAGAGATGCAATAAAGCTTTGCTCGTATGTGCCGCGAGAATTATAAATAATATACCGCGCCCGCCCCAATCAGCTGGCGGGGCCTGGC